AAAAAAAAAAAAAAAAAAAATTAAAAGTCACAGGACAGTCTTCGACATTTGATTGACCTTGATAAAAATTGGAGGAGAAATTGAAGTTACCTTGATTAGCTCAATAAATGTTATCAAAAGTCCCCAAGGATGAGGCCTGTTTACTATCAGGCGTTCCAGCAGGACCCTCGTGATTTGCTCCTGAATCATTTCCTGCTCAAAATTTTAAAACCGATAGTCGGTCAGTAATCATATACGTAAATGAACATATGAAGAAAGAAAGGGAAAAAAGAAGATGACATGTTGGTTTTGAGGAAATTTAGCACGAGCGTAGAAGAAGTATACGAGCATGTACCTGGTTCGACTCAGCAAACAGGTAAAGGAGGATGAAAGAGAAGTAATGGGTATGGTTGTTCGGATAACGTAATTGGTTGGCAACAGCATTCAGGAAAAGGTAGCGGCCCTCGGTGTCGAGATCCATAACCAATGTCTGAAAAATGTCCAAAGCAGCACTCACCAAGAAGGCAGTCATATTTGCCATGGATTGAGAAGGGGCTCTTGCTTGCAGCTGCTGAATAGCCTAGATAAGAGTTTCAGAAGGATAGTTAGGAATGCTAAAGGATAAAGCTAAACTTCATAATTATTTGGTTAATACTCATAATTTTATTTTAAAAGACAAAGAGAATGATTAGGTATAAGTTAATTTTGTTTTGATTGGTTCGCTGGATAACCAAATTTAATTTTTTTAAAAAAAATGATTGGGTTAGGTTTGAGTGAAATTTTGAGTTTGTATTAAAATAATATTTAAAATATAATGATTAAAGCTGATTTGATTAAAAGTATGAGAGACGTGATTGAAGTGATGAGCGGTTAAAATTATGAGTGGATGAATAGTGAATTAAAGTTGGTGTGATGTGTGAGGATGATTGATTGGTTAAATTTGAGTTAAATTTTGACTTGAAAAAATTATCTGGTCAAAAGTGACATAATAATCTGTATCCAATCAAGGCCTAAGGTTTTCTGTAATTAGTATTATGTTGAACATATTTCATCAAAAACTGTATTATGTGAAATAACTTACTTGCATCCCAACATATAGTACAAGTGAGTTGATCAGAGGGACATTGTAGCGGGTCCCAGCACGAGCTGCGTCAATTGGAGAAAGCAGTAGCTTCTGTTTCAACTCGGACAGAAACGACGACCCTTGGTGCCTCGTCTGTAATATAGGTAAAACAAATCAGGATTGATAAAGCAAGTCACCAAAACAGAACATGAGCTCTTCAAAATTGATAAAAAGTCACCAAATCTACACTTTTCTCCTCCCACAAGGCAAATGGATTTCCATTTTATTCCCCTGCTCAAAGTAAGAAAAATAAATTATAATTTGGTTTCCATTAATGTTCACCTTGAGATAGTCGTCCACTTCATTCTTGATTTGCTTCGCTTTTAGCGCGGCATCGACCTCAGAAAGTATTCTAGGCGATTGACTAATCTCCGCCAGCAAATCAATCTAAATTATCGCATAAATAAATCAATTAATTTCCAGATTTAAAACTTTATAGACCAAGACGTACGTACATATTTTGAGTCCACGTACTTTTAAGTTGGGAGTTGAAGGATCTGGAAGCCTCATATTACGAGGAAACGCGCTCAAGATTATATTTCGCATCTGTATGCAGCTTGGGGGGATGACATCACAAAAACTGAAATGATAATCGCAAAGGAATTCCGGAAAATCGTGAAGCAGCACCAACAATACTCTGAGCGTCCCTTTGTATAGAAAGTGAGCCTAAATCACGAAATGACAGTAAATTCACTAGACAGCAGAATAAGAAGCTTTTCAGAAAAAAGGAAAATATAAACTAGTTACCGACCGGCTCTCCGAGTTCAGCATTCCTAAGAAATGGCTCCATAAACTGAAACAGGTCTACCAACAATCTCTGGAAATAGGGCCATCCTTTCTGTGCATTTGCCGCCAGTAATTTTGGCATGAAACTTCGGTGACTTACTAATTCTAGCCACGCAAAGCTGAAAGCAACGAGAAAAGTTGGTCGTTAAAATATTCACATATGATCTGGCAAAGAGTAAACAAACAGACTCCATTGTAACTGATTGTTCAAAAAAGTTAATAATAAATAAAAAAATGGAGTTACGGTATAATGAATCGACCAAAATATATTAAAAAATATATTGTACAAGTCAAACACAAACCTGAACCCTGGGACCTTAAGAGGTTGAATTGCATGGAAAGAGTTTGCTAAAGCAGTCAACACCTGAAAGGTTTTAAATGAATTCATTGTAAAAAAATGCAGGTAGAAAAAGCAAATACTGAGATGAACCTGTCCTCACAAACTGAAAATAATATAAAGATTATAGCATATACATGAAAGTTGGCACCATCGAAAACTGGCTCCAAGGAACACAAATCGAGCAGCCAATTAATAAACAATCTAAAATATGGCCGGGGATTGAAGGCGATCTTCTTCTCCTCGGCATCTTTTTGGATAAATTTAACGGTCACAGCAAGCACCTAAACGAAACATAGACCACAATGTAATATACTAACCATCAAACAGAAAGGCCTGAAGGTTTTGAAATTGAATTCATACCTTGGGCAGAAGAGAGAGCTTATTGGACCCCTGATCAATGGGGCAAAACTGGAAAGATCCCAGAATCAGATGATATAAAATTGAAAAGAAGTCAGATGATCTATGGGGTAAAAGTGAAGAGATAAAGAATGAAATACCGAATAACCACAAATGTTGTGGGAAGGCCAATTAAATAATGCTTACCTTCAGAACTGAGAAAACTAACTTCGCATATATATCAATAGCTAGAAACGAGAGTGGCTGTCCCTGATGTGACTGGGAAGGGCTAGAATTTATCGCCTCATATGATAAACAGTGCGAAAGCGAAAGTTCCTGATGTTGAACACAACATAAATTCAATATCCGACAGGCAACCATTTATTTATATAAGGTGTTGGAGTGAAAAGGAGCTTTACCATTATACGACGGAAAAAATGATCTGAAGTTTCATCTCCTTTTAGCAAGCCTCTCTGCTGTAAGTGTAAAACATAACGAGCAGAAGCGGCATCGTTTGCTCCAGGGAGTTCACATATTTGGTACCATTCAGCAAACAGCACTGATACCTATATGCAGCACATTGAAGAGAAGATGACAACAAATATGATGAGAAACAATAAAATGCATACCCAACATAAACTCTGTAGCTTCTTGTAAGCAAGAATTTCCAAGTAAGAACCCTGAAAAATATTCTTTTACGTAAACAGTGACAAACTCTACAATTTCAACTTGATTTCAACTCCCTATGTTAATTAGGAACATCAAAATTAGTGAAGAAAGGGCGCCAGATTAAATTTAGTACCTGCTCATGAAAACCTGCAAGATCTGAATCCACCAATTCTGCTGCATTATACTCTTCCCGATTTTCTGCAGGAGCCACGGTAACCTATCCCAGATAAATTAAAGCATAAATTCAGATATAGAGACAAACCCAATAAGGATATGCAAGCAAATCCAAGAGACGAAACAATAGAATAAGGAAAGCACCAATACCATTTTATCCCTAGTGGTTTTCGTCGAGTCTTCTTTCCCAACAGTTACAGAAGACAAAGTGGCGGCATTAGCAGGGTTCTTCGCAATTTCAACCAGCTGTTGTAAAGACTCTGGAGAACCAGGTCTTGCAGCAAGCTGAGAACTTAAAAACCACCCTTATTATTGAACACATACACACACACAGAGACTATGGGAAGAAAAGAAAACACAAATATGTGAGACAAAGTGAGTAAGATCGTGCCTTTGCCAGAGCATCTACAAGATTATGTAGTTCTGATATCACTTTGGAATCATTGATAACTAATGTTTGTATAAGAGATATGGCAAATTCTGTTGCAGGCACTGCACAATGTAAACAGCGGAACGTTAATATATCCAATCAAAAAATTGAACACAGACTTTGTGACACATACTGTTTCTTCCTGAGTCAAGAAGCTTCGCCATATGGACGTTATACTCGGCAAGGTTCAATAGCTCACTCTTAATAAGACCAATAGTGACGTCTTTATTGTACTTCCTATCTTCCTCAGAGTAAATCACCTGTGAAAAAACAGTTCAAGAAAAGAAAATGGTAAATAACAATCTCCTTGCAATGGGCCAAGTTCGCAACTAATAGAACTTCATACTTAAGATTTGATGAATAATGATTGGGTACTACTCTCCCACAGCCCTACGCAAGCAAAAAGCTGTACATCATGAAATTTCATAAGTATATTGGAACCTACAAGGGATTCAGGGTCACATATAAAAAAACTGGAACTACAACTTTAGAGGCACTGTGATCCTATACTACTCAAACCACAACCGATATCGTATCTTCAAAAGCCAAACTACCCCCATTTGTTTCGAGGAACCTGACACCCTTTATATCAAAAACTCATATAAACATGAAACAGAAATCTCGTATGGCAAAACAAATATGTACTAATTGACCACATCATTTGCTCCTCAAAACTGAACATGTTTACAAACAAATTTCAAAAGTGTTCATAACAAAGTTGAAAAAATTTGTTCATGACATTCATCTTACAATCATTGTGTAGTATAATTAATCCAAATATAATAATTTGCATCAAAAATCAAATATATAAAACTTATTTAAGCAGTTTGCCATACCCAGCTAGTGAGTTCCTTAACTACAAGCTTGCTAACATCACGAATAGCAGCCAGGATAGCAAGGTGAGCATTAACATGAGCACTGTTAGATGCATTTTCATACAAGCCCTTGAAAGCCTGCAGCATTAAAGGAAAACATATATATATATATATATATATATATGAGAACTAATATACGTACATATATATATATGAGAACTATTTCTGGTATCATTCAAACAATTTCTGGAATATTCATCACCTTCTGAGCCACAGCCAGTGCAGCCTCATCCCGGCTAATGCATCTTAAGATAACTGCAGGAACCTCAGCAATAACTCCCTGCAATAAACCACATTCAAAATAAGATAAACCATACAAGAAATTCACTGAAGAGAAGCTATAACAGGAATCTTTTGAAAATATATCCACCGACTGAAAGCAAATAGTGAAGTAAATGAATGTGTCTAATGTGATCTATTACCTGAATTTCAGCGTCCTTAGAATCATTGGCCACCAGAGTTTCAAGCTGAAAGGATTTAAATAGAGAACTTTGTTAATGGAACAAGATAAAGCATATTGATATTTACCAAATTACTATGCTACCAAGTCTTAACATGATCAGCAATTTAAAAGCCATGAGCCATCCAACTACATGTACAATATATGCTAGGAGAAGAAAACAGATGTTTAACAAACCTTCTCTGAAATAGTCTGATACTTATCTAGTGCATCGCCTGTGGTCATCAAATGATCTGAAACAGCACTTCCAGGACGTTCCAAAGCCAAAGGTGCGCTTATGGGCTGAACGGAAATTGCAGATTCCTGTGGTGTGTAAAACTCCAAATCAGTAAGAACACATCCAAAATATTACACAGGCATAGTGACTTTTTACTCACACTGACAGAATTTAAAGGTTCCACCACTTGCAAATCGGGGGAGGAAGCAGGAGGAATTGAAGTAACAGCATCACTTTCAAGGCTTTGTGGATCGTCCCCAATTGCAATGTGGGATGAGGAAACACTGTAACATTTTATCATATTGTTCCAGTTTACAAGGGGCACATATCAGATAGGAAACGGATAATAGTAAAAGAAAGGAAGGGAACATATATCAACAAAACCTTGAAGAAATCTGGGCTCCTACTGAATCCATGTCATCTGGATCAATTTCCAGAGTCTGGGGAACTGCACCAAGTCCAGCGTTTACAATGCCAGACGAGAAGATGCTTGGGTTTATTTGGCCAGATGGAGTTACGGATGAAAATGATCGGGACATTCCACCACTGGCAGGTGAAGCAGAAGGACCAACAGGTGGAGAATTTGGGCCCTGAGTGGAACGGGTTTGCCCTGGAAAACGAGCAAAATCCTACAAACAAAAATGGAAAAGCAAGGGTATGTTTGACTTATTACCATCTAATTTTGTATTGCAGAGATGTTTCAAGAAGCAACCACAGAAAATATCCACCTCGTAGACTCGCTGCTGCGAATGCGACAGGTGGCCAGGTTTAGGTCGGAGGGCCTCAGGTAAAACACCCATTTGACCTTGGGAATAGAGGCTAGCATCAAAAAACGTGGGACCAACACTCTCTCTATGTTTTCTCCTGATAGACAGCTGCTGCGCAATTTCTCCATCGATGGTTTGAACTGCCTGTAACCGAGATTAGAAACAGGAATGTCAGATCCAGATACAGAAATACTGAACATGAAAAAATGAAAGGTTCTACTAAAATGTGTCAGTACGCAACTACAGCTTTTTGTTCTATTATGATTATTTTGCCTACAAGGAGCTTACGATTTTAAAATAGCATAGGTAATGATTCTTCATTTTCATTTTGTGGAGTCATTTGTCAGAAAGCTCTCTACGAAACATGGAATCAATGTCATACATACAGTGACACTTAAATATCAGGGAACATTCTACCTTCTCAGTTGCAGCTTGTTCAATCAACACACAGCCAAGGTCCAGATTGTCATTAGTCACAAGTTGGACTGCTTGTTCAAGAAGATCACTTGCTATGCTCAAGCTCTGAAGTGCGTTCCTCAGTTGTCCTGATATTGAGCCACGCAAAGGTTCCTGGAAGTGAAAGAAAAGTCGCTCAATATCACAAAAGCCAAGTTGAATGAATGTATGAATTTACAGAACTAGAGAGGAGGCAAGAACAATGAGATAAAAAATATATATATATCTCTACCTTGCAGGTTACATGGGCTAGACTCCCAGCCAATCTTGCAACCATCAAATGTGCTGCATTTCGGATAAGGGTCTCATCTGGTTCCATAGCATAATCCTGTCATTACAAAAAAGAAAAGTGTCCTCGAACCATTTTTATCAAAAATTGCATCCAACTGAAATGATTGCAGTCTTATATTTTGTTAAGTCAAGGAGAAGAAAAAAAAACAAAAAAAAAAAAACACAATGTACCTTCAAAACAAGCTCCTTAGTTGTCTGCGTTGCTATAGAAACACTTCGCTGAACGATACTGGACACAATCTCCTTAACCGCCCTATCCATGGCAATTGGAAGTATACTGCAGCAAACAATGAGTAGAAATAATATTATTTTTTTTTTCAAAAAAAAGGGGCTAAATCATTATCGAATTGTGCATATTTCATTTTTAATTCAAACCTCTGAAAATGCACATGTAGGCCATATGCCTGAAGCTTTTTATTGACAACAACTTGTTGTTCAACGTTAGCAGCTGGCAGAGGAAGCTGCAAACACAACATGGTAAATGATTCAGCAAAGAAATTTGACTCAAACCCTGGATATTGACGCAAATAAAACTATAAAAAGCACCTGATTAGATGGAAACGGTGTCTGTACTTGCAGAAGGCCCTGAGCAGAAGGGAGCTGATCAGGAAACCCCAGGCTCACCATCTTTTCATCTTCCGTTAACGTTCCAGATGAATGATGAAGAGGTGTGGCATACTAAATCCAGAAATGCATATCAGTCTCAAGTCAATTACTGGAATAAAACAGAGTTAATGAAGCACTAACCTGAGATACCATTCGTGAATGTCCTCCAGGATGAGCAGGAGCTGAAACATCCAGTGGTAACTCCACTTGGTTCGGAATCGATACCACTCCAGATTTTGCCTCATTTGGTATTGGTGGTTGTGAAGATCCCATATCCTTGTTGGAGAAATCAGGATTACCTTCAACTTCTCTAACTTTATGCTTAAGAAGAGAAGTTGGTGTTACATCCTTAAGGTCAACACCAAGGTTCTTAAACAGGACCTAAGAGAGAGAGAGAGAGAGAGAGAGAGAGAGAGAGAGAGGGAGAGAGAACTTAAGTACGAAACAAGTATCCATTAAGCGCACTGAAACCCAGGTAAATATAACGATTTGTTAAAAAAAATACCTCAATCTCAAATTTGAGATTCATTTTCAGATTTGGCATAGCATAAATCTCAGCAAGCAATCCCAGAATACCCATTGTCCACGGATTAGGGGGTTGATATGCAAGACTGTTAGAACATGGTTCTAGAATCTGGAACACGCATAGTATATACATATGAAAGTGAGAGAGACACACAGAGGGAGAGAGAGAGAGAGAGAGAGAGAGAGAGAGAGACAGAGAGACAGAGAGAGATGACAACTCAGCATCACACGCATCGACCAACAACCACAGAAATCATACCTTGGAAGTAAAAGGAATAACCGCTATCATGAGTCCCCTTTCATATGCCTACCAAAAACAAAGTACTAAATCAACAAAAAATCAAAGAAGGATGAAGCAAACAGGCTTGGTACTGGCCTCAAGGCTATATTAAGCAATAAACTGTGATTTCCAGAATTTCTTCATTGACCAAAAATAAACAAAACAAATGCAACCTCTATAATCAGCGATTTGGGATCTATCTCTCGTGCCCTTAGAACTTGATTTCTGCCTATCGTAATCTTCCCAAGCCAGCTTCCTAAATTTTTCAGCAATGAACGCTCTTCCACACTAGACTTTATAAGTTCTGATCCTAAGAGAACCTGGAGAGTAGGAAGCACAAAATATCAGCACCAATCATTTAGTAAAGGACAAAGAACTTAAACTATCCAAACCTTGCAGTTCTCATAAGTGGCTTGAACAATCTCCCTGTACAGAGGCTTTAAATTTACTTTATCAAGAAACTTTAAGTACAAATCATGAAAATTCATCTCGATACTTGCTCTGCAAATAAGACATGAAGAATAAAAAAATCAGATTTATCTTAAAAAAATCCAATGTCTAACTCTTCCAGAAAACTGCAATGAACTGCAGCATAAAGGGGAAAACTCCAGCAATGAAATAGATCGTTGAAATACAACCATTAGTCAGACGTTAGTCGATTAAAAGAAAAAGAAAATTTCTCACCTTTTCATAACCATATACTGAGCAAACCAGGGATAGTATAGCTCATTCAGAATTTCAGTAAATTCTTTGGCTTTAGCCTCAATAGTTGCAGCAGACAAGTTATTGATAATGAAAGATATCTTATCCTGAATTTCTGATGCAGGAACCTGCTTGAAGATGGAAGACAGAGCAAAATAATCAAAATGGAGAAACAAGATCCAACGGCTACACACTGAGCTGAAATATTATCACTTGTGAAAAGGATGGTTTGAGTAAATACAGTTCATAAACAAATGTATTGAGTCCCTTCACCAAATAAAAGCATAACAAAAGAAAACAGATCCCCGCAGCTCTCGTCATACATAGTATATGTGCTGGGTATAACCTTCAAATTTCCAGGACATTGAGACACAAGAGCTTCGTTTCTATAAATCTGAGTTTCCAGAGCACAAATAATCTGGTAACAGACACCTGTGCTTCATGACATACTTAAAGAGTTTCTGATCTTCACGTCAAACAAATAAACTCAGCCAACTTTGATTGTATCGTTCATTACCATAATTGGAAGCACAAGCACCCAAATCAGGTGCATCATGCACCAATCCATAATTATAGATTGCAAGAAAATATGTCAATTTTTCTCTCAAAAAAATTAGCCTTGAAATGAAATTGCAACCTCTGTTATCCTTTCGATCCTTGATAACAGAATCATGAACGGCAACCGAGATGGAGAGAAGCATGAAATGTACCCAAAGTACTGAACTGAACAAAAATTCAAGAGCAAGAAAGAGCAGGTTCACAGGCAAGAAATAAAACATCCAACGAGTAGCATGACGTTTAAATAATATTTAAAGCAGCAAATGCAACCACCTCTATAGAAGTTTCTCTCCTCTCAGCTGCTGCAACAAGTGTTTCAATGTTCAAAGCGGAGCCAAACCCTGGAACCGTAAATGAACTCTAAATGAGATCCATAAACCATATGGCTAGCAGAGATGGCCACCACAAAGGGCACATTTCGAAAAACACACTGGAGAAAGCATGAATACAAAAACTTAAAGATGGGGTATACTTGCTGAGGAAGGTCGAGACGAACTTGAAAAACCGGGAGAGGCAGAATGTATTGGGGCCACGCCGATTCCGCTGCGTGACTGCATTTTTGCCTTGATTAGTTCAAATATTCAAGATGTTGAAAAACAGGCATCTTGTAGACCAGAACTGCGGAGAATTTGAAACTTAATACTTATTTGGATCTCAAAACTTACCTTTTGAATGCTAGTCGTATCACTCGAAGGGGAAAAAGCAGGCTGGCTTGAAGAGGATGGCGCAGGCTTCATATAATTGGACAGAATTGCAGATGTTTTCCTCTCATCCAGAGAAGTAGATAGTCTTTGAGGAAGGTTAATCGGAGAGGAGATTTGCAGCCCCATTTGCGTTGGGCCAGGTCTAACCTGAGAATACAAGGATCCTGTGGTCTGTAACAAAAAAGGAGAAGATAGTGGAAAAGTGTACATAAAGGAGTTTGATGGTGCAGGAGTAAACAATAAATCAGTTGTACTTTATTATGCAAAACAACTCGGAAGAAGCTAGAAACATTCCTCAACAACTTAAATTAAAATGCAAATATGACCAACTTATCATACACCAAGTAAATAGGTTTGGAGTAAATATTATTATTACTGTATTGATGAGATTTTTGCAGAAAGAGTTGTCAAGAGATAGCCGGTTTCAAATTAGAGAATTGACACTGAAACTTGAAAAACTATATTCAGAATTAGGAATAACTATTCTACTTGAG